ACTCCACCTTAACCTCTTTGTGCTGCAACTCTCTTCCACTCCTCCAAGAAAATAGAAACCTTATCAGACATAGTGTACATACGTCCACTCTTCCACTCCTCCAAGAACAGGAGAAACGTTACCATACATACATCATACATCCGTCATCTTCGTGCCCCCACCCTTGCTTATTCACTCCTTGTGGCGATGTCACCCTCTCGCCAGCCTAGATACATTGCCACCCCTTTTCGACTGCGGTCCGGCGGCGTTTGAGATTGCCAACCACACCAACATGAAGGAACGAGAGACGCCTGAAGTCATACTTTGGGAGCCTCGCTGTACTGCGCAGTAGGCTAGTGTCTCTAGATATTGGTTTCTCATTGCATGCTTATAGGAGGGTGGTGCTAATAACTGCTGCCACGTCGTTTGGTGCGGGACCTTTCCCCCTCCTATGCACACGAAATGCAACGATCTGCTGCCTTTGAAATCAAATAACAGTTAGCATCATCGTTCAAGAACAGACCAACACTGTGCAGTACAGCGTATCTGCCAAAGTAAAAGACCGAGGTGTCTCTCCTTCCTTTCTTCGTCCTCAAGTCTGCAGTTGCCACATACCGTAAGAGGCGGAGAGATAGCCCTCCCCTAGACCGACTTGCAAAGGTCTACATGTAATCCCTCCCCAACCAAGGGGGTGCGGAAAAATCCCGATAGTTCTACGGAAAGCCCTCGGCCAGATGTTTCCAAAACCACCAGTGCTGGGGTGAGGCACAATCTTGGATGTGAAGAAATCGAGCTCTGAAAATCGTTCTCGGTGGAGATACCATCCCTCCGCCTCTTACGGAATACCACGGTGCGGTATACGGTACGGTACAGAAAATCTTGGTTGTGAAGAAATCGAGCTCTGACAATCGTTCTCGGTGGAGATACTACAAGCACAGCAAATCTTCCATCGACGTGGACTTCCATGATCATGACCACACGCCCTTCCCCCATCAACCAAAAAACTCGTCAGGAGCGCGCGTGCCGACATGCGCATCAACGGCCGATCGGACTGTTAACAACGAAGGTGCTTGGAACTTACCATATGTGTCCGCAAGGCGTGCTGCCTCGGAGTGGGTTCATCAGAGCATAGTAGTAGTGCCATCAAGGCGCGATGCCAAGATGAAAGTGTACAGCATGCGTTCGCGTGAATCAGCAGCCAGCTGCCATCATTGACGTTTCCCAAGCTCCAACGTTCTTGACTCGCAGAGCCCAGCGAACGTCAACGAACCAAAAGGCCATCAAATCTGTATACAGTCTTATTATCCATCACGAACCTGTCGCCACTTGCTCCCTTCCTCCAGCGCGAACGTGGCCGACTCGGGCGTCACGACCTGGGTGAAGTTCTTCCCCTCCACGAGACTGTTGGCGAACCGGAACCTGGTATAGCTGCTGTTGAACCCTTGCCCCGCGATGGTCAAGACCTTGCTCGACTGGTACATGGTGACCTCTTCGTGAGTCTCCACCGATAGGGAGTGCCCCTTCATGTCGGCTTGCATCTCGGCGATCGTCACGCCCCCAAGCTGCACGGAAACCCGAGGACCAAAAACCGCGGGGGGGGGGTGGTAAACAACGTATACGTACGCCGGGGGGATCGATGACAGGGGGGGGTGTACTCACGTACACGCAAGCCATCGTCGGTAGACTATAGACCGGGAAGGAGAGATATGACGGGTTTCGCCGATCAAGGCCAAGATTAAGATTCACAAGCATCAACCAAAGCTGACCGTCATCCTTGTATTTGCTGTGCGGTAGGGGGAGTGAGTGAACATCAAGAGAGAGAGGCACCAACGGTGGCACGGACAGTACCCGTAGGTGGTCGAGATGTGTATCTATCGAGGGACAGATCGTGAGACAGGCAGGGCGGACGTTAGCCAGAATACCGTCACGGCCGCTCTCGTGCAACAACGACAAAAACAACCACCACCACCACCAACAACAACAGCAGCAGCAGCAACAACATCAAGCGCGCCGAGAGCATGAACTTGGGGTGACCATTCTTGACAACTGCGAGCGATCGAGCGAGCAAGGAGAAGTCACTCACGTCCTCTCGGAGGAGAAGACGGCCGGCACCAGTGTCGATCGCCACTAGCTTCAGGGGGCCCGGCTCATCCGCCCAATGGGTGCCCTCGACCTTTTGTACGAGGGATACCCAGATCATCGTAGATGACTTCACCTGCAAACAAGCAGTGCGTAGGTAACAAACAGCGCGCGAAAAACATCGTCGAAATGACGATGATGATCAGATCGTCGTAAACGTAAATGATTTCACCTGCACATGCGTACGGCAGTGCGTCGATAAAAAAGCGAGCAAAAATGACGATGATGATCAGGTAGTCGTACACGAAATCACATTCATACACCAGTGCGTGGCAAACAAAAGGGAAATAGACAAAGGCGGGTAAATCAACTCCTTTCGCGGACAAACGTGGGTACTCGGAGAGTTTTCTTGGCGGAGACCGACCACTCGCGTAGCCGCCGAACCACTCAAAATCTCGTTCCGATGCCTGGACAACATGGGCAGGGCCCATGCACAACACGAACGTACATCAATTTTTACGAAGCGTTCGGGCAGGTCTTCACCCCCACACACCGCCGCGGCGCACAAGGCCTCAACAGGTTGCCCGATCATGTCCGAAATTCCGGTGGGAATACCCACCGAAATCTAGAACTTCGTATTTTTCGTGTATTAATACCTACTTTTTGCCTGTTTTATGGCCCACTTTTGTCCGTTCGAAAATCGACCTCCACGTCACCGCACGGGGGATCTTTTCAAATGAAAAAAAAACAAGAGCGGGCATTCACTCCGAGAAAAAGGCTGATTCCCCGCTTGGGCTATCTCGCTCTGGTCAACCTCTTCCAAAGCCAACAAGCGTGCTGTGCTACACGCACAGGAATACATGAGAATTCACCAGACAGACAGTAGTACATCGACCAACCACCATCGCTTCGAAGCCAACAAGCCTGCGGCCGCTACGTACATGAGAAACACATAGACCCACCCCAAGTGACCAAACATGAACTGACCGCCACCACAGCAAGCCTGCGGCCGCAACATTCTACCCAAGGCAAAACGCGAGCACCAAACTCACCAAAATGGTGACGTCAGTGCCATCGGAGAGGGACGGCGAGAAGAAGAGAGCGGTGGTCTTGGTGTCGAAGTTGGTGCCGTTGATCATCACGTGCGGGCTGACCGTGAGGTAGAGTATCCTATCGCTCGGGTACACCGTCGGTGTCGGGATCACTGATGCCACCTTCATTGACATTCACAGCACACGTACAACCGATGAAAGAAAACAATGATAGTAAACGCCACGAGGGAGACAAAACATAATAGAGAGAGAGAGCGGCGAGACAACAACGAGAAACGACGAGTCGAGAGAAACATAATATCGTTGTGCTGCATGTGTGTTTCCCTTTTACTTTGTACCTTTTGGTTTTGGGAAAATCGATCGGAAAACCTAGATAGTCTCGTGCTGGAGCGTGAAAGACACCGAGAGAGAGAGGCAAAAAAAATCGAAACAACGCGCACGGCATAGACCAGCTACAGCAGCAGGAAGAACGAAACCATTCAAGGAGGATCCAGACGCCGTACAGCAGTACTCACAAGAACAGGGTCAGTGATCAACTGCTTCCCGCCATGCTCGGCCTCCACCAGCATGAGGCTCCCATTCGACTCCGCCCACCTGCATCAACACAACAGAGCAGCAATCGAGTTGCAGACGGAGCCACACATGGGTGGAAGGAAGAGCGACATGTTTGTGTGCTTATGGTGTAGAGTATGCGGAAGACGCCAGCCACGATACAAGACAAGAACATCTTGTTTTTGCCCCCAAGACTCAATGCAAGACTCGTTTTCATATTTCCTGCGGTGGTGGTCAGTAGGTACTCCAACATCGATTACTAATGCATGGGTTTTAGAGAACACTTTTTTCCTACCTGAGCATGTGTTCTTATGGTCAAGTTCGTGAGTTTCACTGTGCCTCAGCCGGAATTATTACTATCATACTCCGGACTCATTCTAAATTCTCAACGTACTGCTGTACCCCAGGGGCTTACATTAATTGATATGACGCCTTCTCATTTCGGACCGGCTTCTCATGGCAAGAAACTAGGTTCATGAGTAAATAGAACAGGGAGGGGGGTACGCAGACTATATTCCCTAACCCTGTAACCCTAACCCTAACACAATCTACCCGATTGCATGCTTTACCCAACATGTTTACTTAATCGAAAAACCTCTTGGTTCATTTTTCTGCGAAGGCTGCTACTAAATTCCATCATTTCACCGCTCGCTGCTCTTGATCTTGTTGGTTGTGGTTGTGATTTTCGACCGTCCGTCTCAGGCCTCAGGCTCACCTCCCTCCAGGCGCAAGCTCGAGCACGATAGTGTCATCCGACTTCACCGCGGCCTGCTGCAAGACCCCCCCCCCCACCTCCATCGGGGGGTCGAACTTGAGATTCCGAACATCCTCAAACGAGAGCTGGCCAAACCCCGAACCCTTGAGCTTGATCTTTGGCTTGGTATCGTACACCTTGCCGAACTTAGATTCAAAAGTTACGGCCTTCGATCGCAGGGCAACGGAGGTAACAATTGCGCGGAGGAGGGAGGGTATGTTTTGCGTGCTTTAGCGGTAAGACCGTTGACCACGCGTCCTCGAGAGGACGGAGCATGTTGTGCCCACGGGACTGATTACCGATGGCCAATCGTTCCTTGCTGCTTCGCCAAAGTTGGCTCTAAAACGTTTTCCCTTTCCTAACGATATCACTTCCCGCCTTCTCCGCCCATTTTTTTTATGCCCCAGTTATAGCTATTGCTGTCTTCTCCTGGCTACTCCCGGGCGGGGGTAGGGCGGGGCATGTTTCGTATTTTGAAAATAACTTCCAGAAGATAAACCACGTTTTCATGGGTCGGAAGCCTGTCTACGTGCGTACTGCTGTACGAGGATTGAAGCGGGGCTGAGAGTGTAAGGGCTCTAGGGGACGCGCGCACATGAACACACGCAACATCTGAGGCACCAGGCGGACGGACACCTCGAGTGACCATAGAACAAAAAAAAGAATGTACGCTACCGAAAGACTGCATTGGCGAAAACTAGGACGGCGGGGAAGAGCGCGGAACAGCCAGACATGATCGATCGACACTACTGGTGTCGCTTGTGGAAGGTACAGTGGAATGCATTCCATGTGTCCACCATTGCTCATGGAAAGTCTTCCATGCGTCGAAATCTATAGTGTTGCTCGTGCAACATATTTTACGCCGAGTCACCTGCGGTTGGTAATGAAACAAAGGAACACACCACACACCACACAAAACAGCACACACAGCATCAAAACGTCGCAGAAGACAGCTAGTTCCTCATCAAGCCACACGGATCGGTTCATCTGACGGCGAAATCCTTACATGCCGCGAAGACACGTTATTTCGTTCATACCCCCCGAGGGGGGGGGGGGGGGGGTGTACTCATAGTCGTGCATGCCGTAGTCGTTTGACCATTGACCTCGCATCCCTACAAAGCCGGGACGGAGCACGCCGGGTTCTCACCGGACCAGGCTCTCACATCACCAAGCGCGAAGCGCCGTGAGGTATTTGGCGAGTCGCATGACGGGTGAGCTGCATCCTGCTAAGGGTATTCGGCATCTTGTGCTTACTTCCTTGCGTACGGATGACAGCTACGTATGACTTAATTTATTTTCTGGTGCTTTCACTTCCAGAGACAGTTGTAAGCACTGTGTAACTGCCTCGAGGAAGCTTGACCATTTTAACACAACGTGGTGCGATCATCCCCCGTTGCGCGGAGTGAGGTTTCTCGACCCCGCACAACATGATCTACTCGACCACCATTATGGTTACCGCCAAAAAAAAAACCGAGGTAAAAAAAAAAAAAAACGGTAACCTGGTTGCCGAGTTCACGAAGTGAATTGGCTTGTTTTACAACGTCGTTGCCAAGCGACGAAAACCCAATCCCGATGGCAAACACCGAGTGGGGGGGGGGCACTCTTTTCTTGATATACCACATGTAACAAGGTTCAAGCCCCGTCCGCGGCGTTAGAAAAAAAGCTCCGTGAATCCTTCTTGTTGCTGCTGTACCATTGCTGTCATTCTCCCGCCAAACCGTCGTACTGGTTCAACTGACGCCGAAACCTGCCTTTGTCACACAAAAAACAAAAAAACACCGAGACATCTATTGTACTGTAACACCCATAGCATATTTTGCTTCATGTATCCACGGCCGACCCTAAAAAAAAAAAATTAAAACTATTGGAGCTCTGCACAGGTGTACTCATGGTTGCGGTCAGCTCTGCGCTGTGTCTACCGGAACCAACCTGGTTTCAACATTTGGGCGTAACTAGGTGACTGGGTGCGTTCACCCTGCCCTATGAACAACTCAACAGGAGAAACAAGGGGGATTAAATCGAAACCCGATGCCAAACAAGACGCACCCAACTATCGATATTTGCTACAATCAATACAAAATGGTCCCCAAACCTGAAAAAAAACAAAAACAAGAACGAAATACTGCTGTACACAATGCGTCACCACTTAAGAACCGCTGATTATAGCTTGAGGCTCGACGCTTCTTGGTTGCCTCCAACCAAGCACATGTTCTTATTTTCCAAGTTCTTATATGGAGCAGGAATCTACCTATGATAAACGGGGTTCCTGTTCTTGTTTCTAAACCGATTGCCTTATGCAGAGGAGCAACACAGGTCTGTTGGGGCGGATTTCACCACGAAAAATCACCCCCTAGATAGAACAGTAGTCTACGCAGCAAATTGATTACGAAAACATATGGGATAAAGTATTCAATCCGTGCTCTGGGGTTAGGGTTAGGGTTAGCGATAAGGTCTGCGTGCCCCCTCCCTTATACTTTTCTAGATGCTCTTCAAATCCTGTGTAGGCGGTCCAGCAGATGGAACTACCACATGTTTGTACGGTATGGGAGAGGAGAGGTTGCCCACCATGTCTTGGGAGACGAAATGGGCAAGCAGAAATAATTGGTGTACCAACCTACGGAGTGGGTTAATGATGCAGATGGCACATGGAAAGTTTTCGAATATGACGAAGATGATACACTGGAAACGGAACGTCTAGAGGGGTTCAGGAGAATCAAATATGTGGCTTTTGCAGAGAGAGAAGGACAGAATCTAAGGAAAGAAACCAAGGATAAGGAGGGAGGGTCTGGATGCGTACGGAATGTTCAAAGAAATAATAGATTTCAAGGAGTACCTACATGGACCAATGGGTGCATGGACTAAGCTCAAGGTCAAATGTAGGACTGGAGACATTGGCCTTCGAGAACGTAGACGAAGATTTAGGATGGTAGACGATGAAGACGACAAATCCAGATATGGTGCATGCGGCTCCGAATGCGAAGACCATGTTCATGTACGCCTGCGGAACGTCCGTTGTACAAGAAGGAGAGGAAACTAATACTGAGCTGGGAAAAAGTAGAAGGAAAGGGTACAGAGAGATGTTCGAGGCACGGAATAGGTAGGAGAAGACGGTAGCTGCTTGGGCATTGGAAGTGTGTTGAAAAGGTGGGAAGTGATATCGATAGGATACATAGGCTGGGAAAACATTTTTGAGCCACCTTTTGGGCAAAGTGTAGGATTGACCATCGGTGATCGGTCCTGTTGGAACAATCATGCACCCTCTCGGGAAGTGTTGTCAGTGGTCCAACCGCTAAGGCAAGCGAAACATGAGAGAGAGTCCGCCCTCCCTCTGAGCACACAACATTTTATCACGCGGTCTTCTGTCCCTCTCCGCCTCGAAATCTGAAACTCACTGCTGTTTGGGTCACTCCCCACCTTCTTGAGTTCTTACCTTCCAGCCGCCGCGTTTTGGGGCTCCGTTCTTATAAAGCATTGATAAACCACGAGGGCGGGGTCCTTGTTCTTAATGCCACGTCGGAAATGAGCACCTGTTCTTATTGGCCAAGTTCTTACATTTTGGATACATTTTGGATTTTTTTTAGGCTTTAAGTTCCTATCTACTGGGTTCTTACAGTAGTAGCGCGCTCTGTCCACCCACACCTATACCACCTATACAACTATCGTTATTTTTGGTCCCCAAAGCTGAAGATAAAAAAAATACCAGATCAAAACACACACAACACTTTACGCATACACGACACTAAACTAATTATCCCGAACCCATAAACACACCACCCCTGACATTATTCCTACACTGTACTGCACAAAAAAAATGCTCCAACCAAAGCACACCCAACAAACACCCAACCATTCATATTCCGTCCTCCAACCCCCTGGTTGCTCCGTCCTCTCGAGGACGCGTGGTCAATGGTCTAACCGCTAAAAGGCCTGCCAAACATAAGAGTACGCCCCCCCCCCAACCCCCTGGTACACGATACCTGCCCAAATGCCTCACTTTCCTTGTCCGTGTGGGTCCTGCTCCGGCCACATGGATGTGTATCTATCGTATGCACTGCACTGTTTTCTGTCCATATGCATACATTGCATCAGACAAAGGTCTCCGTCCAAGCACATTTGTTCATATGTTTGCTTCTCTCGACCCGTCAATGGATGAGCAACCCTCGGCCTTCTTATGTTGGAAGTATTACTTGTATGGATAGGAAACGTCGGCCACATCGCCGAAATTGTTGTCAGTGTGATCAATATTGCAGGGGGCCCTCCATGTGGAAACCGTGGAACACCCCAGCCCCCCCCCCCCCCCCCCCCGCCCCGC